TGATGATGGTGATGATGATGATGAGGAGGAGGAGGAGGGGGAGGAGGAGGATGATGACGACGAAAAAGAAAAAAAGTATGACCCTGGGGAAGGAGGAGGAGGAGAAAAGGAAAGAGAAGAAAAAGTTGTATAAACCTGGGTACAATGGCACATGCCTGTAATCCCTGGGACTCAGAAGTCCAAGGAAGGAGGACTGCAAGTTTGAGGTCAGCCTGGGCAACTTGGGCTAGTACCCTGTTCCAAAATAGAAAATCAAATGGGCTTATCAATATAGTTTTGTAGTAGAACACCCCTTGGTTTAATCCCTAATACTAAAAAAAAAAAAAAAATTAAGAATATATATATATACTAAATGTTTTTGTGTTTTTTTCCCTATCTCTCCAACTGCTATTAAAAACTTGCACCCTTTCCTAGGTTACTAATCCTTAGAGGATAAACCAGTTCTGACAAACCACTCGCATGTGAACAAATATCACCACAGAAATCACCCTAGTGCTTTGTGTACTAATCAACAGTCAATTTAAATCAAATTGAAAGAGAAGAGACAGGGTTAAGTAGGAAAGAACAGCACTTTAGGGTACTTCATATTTAATGAACAAAAACTGAACAGAAATATAAGGGTTTATTTTTGGATTCACAATTCTCAGTTCTATTCCAGTTATCTATGTATCTATCTTTATGCCAATATCACACTCTCTTGATTACTGTAATTTTGTTCCACATTTTGAAATAAGGAAATGTGAGTATTCCAACTTTGTACTTATTTTTCATGGTTTTTTTGTTGTTCTGGTTCTCCGCACTTCTACTGTCAATTTCTGCAAACAAGCTGCTAGGATTTTGTTAGGAATCAAACTGTAAGTCAATTTGAGTAGTACTGCCATCTCGACAATATTGTCTTCAGATCCATGAACATAGGGTATCTATTTACTTAGATATTTTAAAATTTCTTTCAACAATCCTTAAATTTTTATGATGCAAGTCATATTTCTTTTGTTAAATATATTCTTAAGTATGGATTCTTTTGATATTACTGTAAATGAAACTGTTACATAATTGAACAATTTGTTGCTAGTGTACAGAATCACAATTGACATTTGAATATTGTTCTTATAATCCATGTACAAATTTTTAAAAATCAAACTATTCTGAAATATTTTTCTAAATGTTACCCATTCTGTTGTATTATACCACAAATTACAAGAAAAGTCAATTCTAATAAAAAATTACACGCCTGTAATCCCAGCCTCTTGGGAGGCTGAGACAGGAGGATCACAAGTTCAAAGCCAGCCTCAGCAACAGCAAGGCGCTAAGCAACTGAGACCCTGTCTCTAAACAAAATATAAAATAGGGATGGGGATGCAACTCAGTGGTTGAGTGCCCCTGGGTTCAATACCAGTACCAAAAAAAAAAAATCATCCCAGTAGAAGAAAAGAAGCTGATATTACATATTAATATAAAGACTTAGCCAGGTACACTGGCACACACCTATAATCCCCGCTATTCTAGAGAATGAGGCAAAAGGATCAAGGGGAGGGAGAGCTGGGGATGTACATAAGAGAGAACATTCCTGAGTTCAATCCCCAATATAATAGTGTCTCCCTACCCAGTCTTCATACCCTAGAACTGCTAAATTCAGATATAAGCTAGAATCAAGAAAAGTTTTGGACTAGGAATGTAGTTCAGTAGTTGAGCACTTGCCTAGCATTGTGAAGACCTGGGTTTGGCCTCCAGAATGGGGATGAGGAAATTACTCGTTATACACTATTTTTTTTATATACTAACAATGAACACATGGATGCTGAAATTAAAAATGCAATGCCATTTACATAAACTCTAAAAATGAGGTACAGTAATTACATGTGAATCTATCGAAACATGTATAGGACTTACATGTTCATATTATACAATGCTGATGAAATATATCAAGCTGGTAGGTATACCACGATAATGGATTAGAAGATTCAATAAAGATGCTAATGTTCCTCAAATTGATATACAAGTTTATTATATAAAAATTCCTATAAGAAAATATAAATTATTCTAAAATTTACAAATAAAAGCAAAGAAGCTAGAAGAGCTAAACAGTTTTTGAAAGTAATCAAGACTATTCAATTACACAGCTATAGATACCAAGACTGTGTGATGATGGGAATGAACGCATATGTAAATGTAATATTAATAAAGTTGCTAAGATTTTCAGAAGTAATAGAGTTATAGAAGACAGCTGGGAAATGATTTGGGAAATCTGATTAATTCCACAGTATCAGTTAATAGACAATAATGGAAAAGGCAAGAGAAGCAACATTATAAGAACAGAAAATTAACATGTTTTAGATACAAAAGATGTGATGCCTTTCTCCCCATGCCTGAATAAGAAATTTTCCTATCTGAAAATTTAAATCTCCTTTATACCTATATTTTTAAACAAGTAGCATTTTAAATATTTGGCATTTGCCATCTACCCAATTTGAAACAAATGGAAAAAGTAACCAATTTAACAACTATTTCACAAGAATTCTGAAACCCCAAAAGCTCTGAAAAAGTAAAACACATCACACTATGTCTGAATTACCCTGAATTCAAAATTAGCGTAATAGACACCAATGCAGCTTTACTTCACAAAAGTCTTAAGACCTCCAGTTTCTTATGTTTCCAGTGGTAGTTTTAAATTTGGCATGCATAGTTAATTCCTTGAATTACTCATGAATTTTCTCCATTTCCACTGAACCATAAGATACTGTGCCACTCTTTCTCCGTAAGTTGCTGAGGTTTGAAGTGGCTTCAAAACTTGCAAACCTCCTGGGGCTGGGGCTGGAGCTCAGTGGTAAAGCGCTTGCTTCGAATATGTGAGACACTGGGTTTGGTCCTCAGCTCCACATAAAAATAAAGATCCTGTGTTCATCTACAACTAAAAAGTATTAAAAAAAAAAAAAAAAAAAAAAAACTACTTGCAATTCTGTTCCAGCCTCCTGATTAGCTGATTTTATGTGTGCACAGCATCCAACTAAAAAGGAGAAACATTTTAGTGTAAAAGATCTGATGAAGCAGATTCTGTTGTAAAACAACACTGTGCTGACTTTTGCTGTCATTTTCACTATGCAAAACCTGAACAGTTGGGGGTATGCTCAAGAGTTGGTACATGTACACAAAAAAGCCATGGACTCAATAACCAGGACCCCCAAAAAGGAAAAAAAAGGAAAACTTTGAGAACAGCTTCAAGAACCAAGCATTTTCCAGAACATGGCAGTATTTTATGTCCTTATTTGGTAGCTCAGCATCAAGAGTAAACCTTGATGCAGGTGCATGCCTGTAATCCCAGCGGCTCAGGAGGCTGAGGCAAGATGATCACCAGTTCAAAGCCAGTCTTAACAAATGCTAGGCACTAAGTAACTCAGTGAGATCCTGTCTACATAAAATACAAAACAGGGCTGGAGATGCGGCTCAGTGGCTGAGTGCCCCCAAGTTTAATCCCTGGTACCCCTCACCCAAAAAAAAAAAAAAAAGAGTAACCCTGCCTTAAGTAACTATTATCTCGATTCTTTGACAAAGCTACTCCAATTAGATTTTTTAAAAATGCTTTTAGTTGTAGATGGACACAATACCTTTATTTTATTTATTTACATGTGGTACAGAGGATTGAACCCAGTGCTTCATATGTGCTAGGCAAGCGCTCTACCATTGAGCTACAACCCTTGTCCTACTCCAATTAAATGTTGATGATCCGTTATGTTCTCACTACACATCAGTTTGTTCTAACTACACATCAACAAATACTACAAGTATAACGTTGATAGTAAATTCATGTTAGAATTAGGTAATATAAAGCTTAGTGATTTAGAAGATACAGGCAAATATAAGCTTTGGCTTTGCCACATTCTGGCTGTGTGGCATTAGGTGAAATTTTAACCTCTCCATGCCTCTGTTTCCCCTACCTACAGTGAGTATTATACCTTTACCTTCAAGTTGTAAAAACTAAATCATGTGTAGAAAGCCTAGGACAGTGTTTGGTATATTACAAGCCCTCAATTAAGCTATTATTTGAGCTTTGTAACTAAAATTCTCTTGGTTATAGGTGCTACCCAGTTAGCTACTCAATTTCAGCCTTCACCCAGACCTTTACCATTAGTGATTCAAAAATGTCTGCCTACTTTTTGGCTTGCCCTTATCATCTCCTTAGATCTAGCCCAAACTTCATCCTAGGTAGCAATAAGATTCTAAGGTCTCCATGTTTGTCCTCAATTTACTCAGAACTTGCTTATCTTTTTCTTCTAACAATTTGCTTGCCTTCACCCCTCCACATTTTAAGGACATTCGGAACTTTTCACATTTTCTACATCATTAAAAAATGAGGCTGTGAGGGCTGCAGTTGTGGCTCAGTAGTAGAGCACTTGCCTAGCATGTGTGAGGCACTGGGTTCAATTCTCAGCACCGCATATAAATGAATAAAGAAAATAAAAGGGTCCACCAACAACTAAAAAAATATTTTTTAAAAAGGGGGGGCTGGGATTGTGGCTCAGCGGTAGAGTGCTCACCTAGCACGGGCGGGACCCAAGTTCAATCCTCAGCACCACATAAAAAAAAATAAAGACATTTAAAAAAAAAAAATGAGGCTGTGGTGTAGTGGCTCTGCAGTGGCAGAGCACTTGCCTAGCATTCACGAGGCCCTTGTTTAGATCCCAGCACTGCAGAAATAATTTTTTAAAAAAATTTCTGAGTTCAGGTTCTATCTCTAAAGGCTACTAAATCTTCATAATACATAACTTGTTGATTAACTGTTTCAGCTTTATTAAGTGTTTAATGCTTACTTCCCAAATGTCATGACAATTTGTTATTATCACTATACTTCTGTATCAAACTAATACCTTGTATTATTATTTTATTTATAAAATTTACAGCCATTTTAAATTTCTGCTACTTTACTTGACTTCCCCCAAACTTTTACCTCTTCCTCCTCCTTTCTAGCTTTTTAGCTCAGATTTTGTTGTTTTCCCGTTATAATGTTTAATATGGAATGCTTCCATGAATTTGTGTGTCATCCTTATACAGGGGCCATGCTAATCTTCTCTGTATCATTCCAATTTTAGCATATGAGCTGTCAAAGCAAGCACCCCTTTTACAAAACTTTTTAAACCTTTCAAGCAACCTATTCTTAAGCTTGTCAGAGAGACAAACATCTGCTTTAAATAAGTGAAGCCTATTCTTATCCATTCAGAACACCAATAAGAGCACAAAATCATTTCATTGCAACACAGTGAAAGAGGGTAAATAAGAAGGATTTTCAAGTGGCATCAGACAATAAATGACTTAAAAAGAGATAAGGACTTTTCACCCTCTATTTTTGGCACTAAAGAATTTGGAGGAAATGGTTTACTAAAGAAATATCAAATGTGGGGGAAAGGAGACAGAAAAGGTAATAGCAAAAACTGAACGATTTTCTCTAATTCCTTACCAATATTTGACCTTCAATTGATACCGTTTTACTGTCTTTATCCTTCAGCTTTCCAGGACCTGTGTTCTCATACAACTACATCTAGAAGCTCCAAAATTTACAGCCAGCCCTGCCTCTCGAAGAGTTGCAAATTAATATTAGTGTATACTCACTCCCATTATACATGGGAAAAGAATCTCTTTTTCCCAACTTTCTTTTTCTTTTATTTGTTCTTTTTAGATATGACAGTAGAATGTATTTTTACAAATTATATATACATGGAATATAACTGCCCATTCTTGTGGATGTATATGATGGAGTTACACTGGTTGTGTATTCATTCATATATGAACATAGGAAAGTTATATCAGATTCATTCTATCTTTCCTATTCCCATCTCCCCTCCCTTCCCTTCATTCCCCTTTGACTAATCCAATGAACTTCTGTTCTGTCCCCAACCCCCGCCTTTACTGTGTGTTAGCATCCACATGTCAGAGAGAACACTGGACCTTTGGTTTGTTGCAACTGGCTTATTTCACTTAGCATGATAGTCTCCAGTTACATCCATATACTGGCAAATGCCATAATTTCATTCTTCTTTATGGCTGAGTAGTATTTCATTGTTTATATTGCCCACATTTTCTTTATCCATTCATCTGTTGAAGCGTACCTAAATTGACTCCACAGCTTAGCTATTGTGAACTGAGCTGCTATAAACATCAATGTGTCTGTGTCACTATAGTATGCTGATTTTAACTTCTTTGGGTATATGCTAAGAAGTGGGATAACTGAATGAGATGATGGGTCCATTTCAAGTTTTCAAGGAAAGATTCCAAGGAATCTCCATACTGCTTTCCAGAGTGCTTACACCAATTTGCAATACCATCAGCAATATATGAGTGTAGTTTTTCCCAACTTCTTATCTCTCCCAGAGGTCCCCGACTTTTGTTACTGTTTTATTAATGAACATTTATATAATGCATATTGTACATTAGATATGTTCCCAAGATTTTACAAACATTAACTCACTTCATCCTCATAGTACTCCTTAAGAGTTCTATGGATGACACTAAGGCACAAGGCTAAGGCAAATAAATAGAAGCTCTTTTATGGATGAGACTAAGTCCTTTGGTTAATAACTTACCTGAGGATACACAGCTAATAGGACTTGCATTTTAACTCCATAAGCTGACTCCAAAGCCCATGTTCATAATTACAAATGCTGCTTCTCCCTTCTTTTAATATTAAAACAAGTCTGTAGCTTAAAGAATGTTCATAAAACAATTTAGAGAAAAGTTTTCCTTTCTTTACAAGACAAATCCTAAATTGTTTTATAGAAGATAAAATGAGAACGTCAAAAGATTTAAAGGAAAGAGCTGGAAGTAGGTGAGTTGGCACACTCCTGTAATCCCGGTTATAAGGAGACTGAAGCAAGGATCACAAATTTGAGGCTAGCCTGAGCAATTTAGCAAAACCCTGTCTCAAATTTTTTTTTAAAGGTAGGAAGGCTATGAATGTAACTCAGTGATACAGCATTTGCCTAGCATAGCATGTGTGAGGCACTGTGTTCAATCCATAGTACCACATACATTAAAAGGTAGATGGGTAGGCAGGAAGATAGGAAGGAAAGAAAAGGGGCTGGAGAGTCATGAGGATCCAATCTATCATTACCAGTGCTACCACACCCTTTCACTTTACTAGTCCTTCTAAAACGCCCAAGTTAGAAAACATCATTTCTGAAGTCAACTTTTCTTCCAAATCTCGTAACGGAAAGAAAGGCTCTCTTCCCTCATCCCAAAGACCTTACTGCTGGTACACATCATTTCTCCATACACAAAATTTATAAACCATCTCTTAAATTGTGATGATACAGCAACTACATTAGCCTATTGAGAGGAAAGAAAAATTACTATTAACAAACATAGTTTTCTTTCTCTAATCCAAGGTTCTGTCTAGCATTTACACTATCAAAAGGTTGCTACAGAGCCAGATACAATGACACACTCCTGTAATCCCAGCAACCTGGAAGACTGAAGTAGGAGGGTCACAAGTTCAAGACCAGACTAGGCAATTTAGGGAGATTATTATCTCAAAATAAAATATTTTTTTAAAGGGCTGGGATGTAACTCAGTGGTAGAGTGCCCCTGGGTTCAATCCCCATTACCGTGTGTGTGTGTGTGTGTGTGTAAAATCACTACAGAATAGAATACATTCCAATTTATATCTTCTGAGATTGGTTTTTAAAACTAATGGTTCAGTCACTACACCCTTAATCTCTTTATCCCATAACTTTCACCACAAACCTGCTGTCTCTTTTCTACTCTTTGTGCTAACAGGATGATGATGAAAGACAAATCGGACAAGTCCAGGCCCTTTTCCAACTCACTGACTTATATCAACTTCCCTCCAGTAATCTTACTTTACAAACCTAGAATAGGGAATTGTTTTTTCACATGATAGGGGTCTTAAACAGCTTTTAAAAACAAAACTATTTATAAAAAAAATTTTAAGTTAGCTTGATTCCTAATAAAACAGAATTATAACAATATTTTAGTCACATCGACAAAAAAACTGACAAAAACATCCACTTTCCAACGAGTTCTTTCTTAGTGCTAAATAATAACAAGAATTAGGATTTTAACCTAAATTTTTTAACTATAATAAATGTTTTTTATAAGTATTAATTTATTCTCAACTTTTATTTTCCATTAATTTGCTAGAAAAATTTATTTACTATTTCAATGTATTCCCTTTCAGTGACTTTTTTTGGTACCATCATTTCATATATTACCTTTTCATTTTGTGTTGGTCTTTCCTGTTGGATTATAAACTGAGTTAATAGGTACCAGTGTCTATTTGTCACCTTCTCCTAAAAGTATATATAACCATGAACAAAATGATTTTAAGCCTGTCATTAAGTTTTCCATCTTATACTTTAAAAGTTTACTTCTTGCTTTCAATTTCACAATCATTTGCTTTCATAATTTGTCTACATAATTTGGTAAGAGATGAGCAAGTTTAAAGTTCTAAATCATCTCTGATTTGCCTTCCATTCCACCATTCATGATCTAATCAGTCCTCAAATCTTCATTCAAAATAAACCATATAACAAGTCTTCTCCACTGCATGCCATCATATTTCATGCTCAGATTACCAATGACCTCCAAAGCAGTCTTCCTGATACTTCTCCTCCTGTTTCATCCTGCATTCTCACCATGCTGAACATCCTAATAGTGTATAATGTATAATCTTGTTTAAACTTCTACTAAACAAGGCCCAAATTTCTTTGCCAGTTCTTCACAGCACTCTCCTCATCTGCATATTCAACCTGACTTCTCAGTACTCTCAGAGTATAGTATTCTATTAATTTCCCCACTGAAAATTCAGCTTGGTGGCGCACACCTATAATCCCAGCAAATTGGGAGGATGAGGCAGGAGAATCACAAGTTCAAAGCCAGCCTCAGCAACTTAATGAGGATCTAAGTAACTTAGTGAGACCATCTCAAAATAAAAAGAGCTGGAGAGATGGCTCAGTGGTTAAGTGCCCACAAGGTTTGAAATCAAATTTGGCAACTTAGTGAGGCCCTTAGAAACACAGCAAGACCATGTGTCAAAATAAAAAATAAAAAGGGCTGGGAATGTGACTCAGTGGTTAAGTGCCTCTGGGTCCAATCCCTGGTACCAAAACTAAATAAAAATAAACAACTTATTGCTAAATCAAACCTAGAGTGCTTTCTGTTTTTCTAAAAGGATACTAACAATACACTCAATCTTCTTCTCTCAGGCTTATCTCGTGACTAAACCATGTCACCAAACCTATTATTTAGAAACAAAAGATGTATATACCTTTGATTTTCAAACTTTTTGTTTTGTTCATGTACTTTCAAAATTATTGAGGATCCAAATAAGCTTTTGTTTGTGTGGGTTATGTCAATTTATGTTTTACCATATTAGAAATTACAACAAGAAAAAAATTAAATATTTGTTAACATACTTAAAAATAGTAAATTCAGGGGCTGGGGTTGTGGCTCAGCAGTAGATTAGTAAGTAGATTGCTTGCCTAGCACAGGCGGAGTGCTAGGTTCAATCCTCAGCACCACAGAAAAATAAAATAATGGTATTGTGTCCAACTACAACTAAGACAAAATATTTTTTAAAAAAAGTAAATTCAAGGATGAACATGGTAGTACATACCTGTAATCCCTGCTACTTGGGAGGCTAGATACAGGACTGCCAAATTCAAGACTGGCATCAGCAAGACCCTGTCTCAAAATAAAATTAAAAGGGCTGGCAGGGCTAAGGTTATAGCTCAGTTCAATCCTCAGCACCACATAAACATAAATAAATAAGTAAAATAAAGGTATTGGGGGGGGGCTAGGAATGTTCCTCAGTGGTATAATGCTTACCTAATATGTGTGAAGCTCTGGGTTTGATCTCCAGTACTTCAAATAAGAAAGAAAATAAATAAAGAAATCTGCATGTTAACATAAAGATTTTATTTAAAAAAACCCATGTATTTTCCAAAACAGAAATAAACTTAGGAGAATAGCATGTTTAGCTTAATGGATGAAACTTGGCTTATATGCCCTTTTGCTTTCAGTTCAATGCAATATGCTCTTTTGGCTGAAACACAAAGAATATAGTGTTAATGAAGAAAATCTACTTGCATACAGGTATGTA